ATGGTATAGACTCCAAGTCGCCTTCAACTGTGATTCCAAACGGAGGCGTATCATGGTATATGATGGACAAGGATAAGGGAGAATACAAAATACAGTTGTTGCATTCGGTGGCGGAAGTTCATTACCGGATAAAGGAGTATAACGGGCGTAGAAGGGAGAAAATGAAGAAGGAAGAAAACGACGTGGATGTGAACAAGCTCGCGAGAGTGGGAGACCGCGTGCATATACTGTCTCCAAAGGAGAAAGCAATGAGCTCCCACCCTAAAACTTGGGGCAGGACCATTTAGGTTAATTAGACGAGTGATAACTCAGCAGTAATCATAAGAATAGGTGAAAACTCAGAACCTATCCGAGCGAAGAAAACCATGAGTTAACGTCAACTGAATAAAATGTTTTGTTTCATAGGCGCGGACATACGTTCAAAGCTGGTAAAAGGACATCTCGAATACGTGTGTAAGGATGGATGTCTGAAGGACGTCAAGTTAGAGGAACTCCGTGGATTGCAGCTGCCGGGCGCTTTCGCGAAGAAACCAATGGGAACGTTGTGGAACGCATGGCGTGCAGCGAGTATCTTCATCAGATCGGATATCGACATGGCCTCGAAGATAAAATTCTGGAAGGACGGAGCAGTCTGTTTGGATGAGGAAGCACTGCAGAAAGTTCTTCGCCTGGCATACGAAAAGTGTCTCGATTGGACGGAATTTGTTTGTGTCACAGAAGGAATCAGTAAGCACGAGAAGATCGATACTATGGATTCGAGAAGACCTATGACTTGGCGTTGAAGAAGGTTAAAAGGAAATTGAGCTGGAAGAGGAAATGAAACGGCCCGTCAAGGATGGCTCAACAGCTTTCGCAGCGCCAGCATGTGCAGCTCATCTAGAAAAGGATGACCTTAAACTGGGAATCTCAACGAGAGTGGCTGTGACCTTCGCTCACTTGAGGGAAGTACTCAACGAGTGGGCGACACATGCTACATGGGCGATTGTCTGGCCAATTTCAGAACTTCAAGCAAGGCGAGATAATGGAAATAATGAAAGCCTGCGAAAGGCGCTTTGAAAATGGTGGTCGTCTCATTTCAGCCTGGCCCCTGTAGTTGCAAAAAATGTAGATTTGTGATAAAAGTGGCCGATATTTGGAAGTTGTTGGATAATGCTCTGGAAAAAAAGCGGGGGCAGGACAATTTTCAAGAGTACATACTCAAAATTGGGGATGGGACTGTATTTTCTTAGGTAGGAGCCCGTGAGACTGCGATTTCTTTTTACGGCTCCGACTGTACCGTGACATATGCGAAGGGACTTTGTGAGGCTATAAGGAAAAAAGGTAATTGGTTTGGTCCCATTACCAGAGTTAAAAAGAAATGAGCCTCAGCTGCTGAGGACAGCAGCTTCGAGGAGGGAGGGAGGGGGCATGTGGAAGGGCAGGTCAGCGCTGAGAGCCCCATGAAGCGCCGTGATCTTGGTGGGAATTAGAGCGTATATAAGAGTGATGAAATCATGGAGGATGTTTCTATCTGATCTGACCGTCGAGATCGCTGTGCTGCCTCCTCCTTAACCGATTTACAGGTAATTTCATTTGATGTATTCCTCATTTGCCGTCGTTTGCAATCGTAAAGCGTTTATTTAATAAACTGTTTTCATAAACACTGTGTTTGTGCTCAGGAGAATCGTCACATTCGGTGTCTTACTTGATTGATCTGCCGGGTGGACATCCGGTACATATTATACAAAAAGAGTTGATAACAGATATATGCGATATGTTTCTGACTAATAGAAGAGAAGTCCGAACCGTGCTAGGAGAAGTGCAGCGCACGCAGGCGCTTCAGCCCCAGAAAGGACCATTCGAAGGGGAAGGAAAAATGAAGACGGATATTGCCAGTGGTACATGGAGAAAATGTATTCAGTATGAAGATGAAGTTGCAGCAGAAAATCAATTGCAGAGAATAAAGGAATCCAGAATCACAACAGCGAGGATTGGAGTACCCTTCGCGCCGCGTTGGAGGCTGCACTTGGCAGCATCGCCACGAACAGATCACAGTCAGGACTCAAATTATTTCATGGCGTTAATACAGGCCGACATGTAGAAGCCCTGGCGTGTTCAACGGAAATCGGTACTAAAACTTCAATGAGTTCGTTAGGCGTTTTGAATGTATGTACAGTATGGTTACATTTGACGATCAAACCTTGACATCCTAGGTGATGAGAACCTAGAGGGTAGAGCTAAAAGTATCTTCTTGAGCCCCATGAAGTTAGAAAGAGATGATTTTATGAGGCTGTGGATGGGTTTAGAGTATTGTTAGCTAGTGATTCTACGGCTAACGAAAGAGCACGACAGCGTTAGCAGGATTGAGGACCCTCGTGCGGAGAGCAGACCAATGTGTGTCAGAGCCCTGTGCAGTCCTGGGGAAGGTGGGGCGGCAAGCAAACCCCTGTTGCATTGTAAAGGATAGGTCCATAGAATACGCACAGGTATCTAGAGGACTGGCCGGAGTACGTACACTTGATGAGTATACTCCACAAGGTTGACCCCAGCGAAGCGTACGACTCAGTAAAAGAGGTAAGTGCATTAAGCATAGTGCAGTCCAAATTGGTATGGGAGTCAGCTGGGAGAAAAGGGACGCTGCATAAAGCGAAGTGGATAGAATAGTGCAGTGAGAGAGAAGACATAGGAGTGAAGGTGGGAAGGCACCAGCAGTGGATTTGGCAATACCGCGCCTTGGCAGATCGCGAGAATGTGGGATGAAATAATAGTGGAGACGCTAGTAAAGAGTGAAGGAGTTGCTACAACTGCTCCAGGTTTATGCATATCGATAAAGAATGTATCTTGAAAGAAATCATGGCGAAACAAATTGGAAATCAGGCTCAGAAAAAGTGGCAAGCGGAAAATAAGATAATTTGATGTGGATTCTTTACAATGCGCGGAGCCTAGGACTGAAAGTGGACATGTTTGCAGGACAGAAGAGGCCACTAGTAGAAAAAAAGGTGCCAGCAGGGGCCAGATTGTTAGAGCTGCAAGTAACAGCAATACTGGACACAGGTTCGATGATAAGCCTAGTACCGGTGGGGATGTTGGCGCACGCCCGGAAAGTGGGATCAGAGAGAGAGACGTGGAAGTGTTGCCAGACAGAGAGATAGTGCCGGTTTACGACGCATCGGGAAATCTTATGAATTTCTTGGGCACCGTTGAGATTCTAATGGAGCCGGAGGAGGGCGGGAGCGTAGTTGTTGCTTTCACATCGAGGATATCAGAAAGAAACACTACTGGGTACTGGTGCCCCGGAACGACCAGGTGTGCGACTACTAATAGAGGTTAATGATGAGTTTCTTGCGCTGTTCGGTGCTCACCGACCCTGCACTCACGACCCCACTCCCCTTTCCTGTGGGTCCAAGTACGACCCCCTTGGTGGGTTTCGCACAACGATGCTGTACCCAGTTTGAAATTTTATGCTAATACACAGGCGACTTCGCCCGTTTGTTGACGGAATTATTGTGAACCTCGAGTTTTTGCAACTTTTTCCAAGAGCCGCTTTCACATCTCTTCTACACAAATCCAATGGACTCACGGACAAGCATTGACACATTGACAAACCAACCCCCGCCTTTCCAAAGGGATTTCAGTTATTCTGCAGAACTTTACTTTCACGTTTTTAAGCTAGAGCCTAGAGGCCCGCCCACCACGGCGGACCTCGTCCACTTTGAGGAAGCTCCGCCCAGTTTTGTAATATCCTTTGATTTGGCGGATAGCCTCGTCACTCGCAATACCAGACAAAGAAGAATGTCATGTTCGGGATTAGACTACTGAGTGATCTCTACAGTCGAGGTTTCAGTCAAGGATACCCCTTGAGTTTTCGGAATAGCAGTATTAGTTGGAAGACCCACTTTTTAATTCGAAATGTCGGCATTATTTAACTGCTACAAGACCAGTCTTCAGAATTCAGACCAGTTCTTTTTGCCAACCTTTTTCTGGGAGGGTAGAGATGAACTGTATTCAGGGTAGTTCAAGCTTGTGCATACCAAATCACATCCACTTATCCTACTGTTTAGCGACCCCGCCAGAAGTGCCGGCGCCAAAAACTCTGTAGCACTAATTTCACTGGAACCCTTGTCCCAGGGGTAGTTCGATCAGCTGAACATGAATATCAGCTCAGCGTGAATTCCCTCCAAACGTCGCCACCCGTAAAAACCCATGCGATGACCGTGATCAAGCCATCCTTTTGCCCTCTCTGATGAATTCCCAGTGAAAGAAAACTGAGCTCTCAGGGCGGTAACAGAGAAAGTAACGAAACATCTCCTGAAGAGCAGCACTTTCCTTGCTCATCCCTAATGGACATTCAACTTTCCCAAATGATTAGAAAACACAAGAAAAACATCTATAGAGTCCAACGACAACAACCTGCAATGGTGCAAAAAGTGTCGAGCCGCCAGTGGCTACTTGTCTCACGCGCACACTCACGTTACATATGAGAAAGCGATGGCTTGTGATGTCGTTAAAGTGTTTAGAGCCACTCATCATTATCTCTTTCTCATGTTTTGCGATTCGCTCGAAACGTGAATGGGATCAGTGCCTTATTTGTTGCCTATCACATCGTATTAAGGAGAGGGCGATTAAACTTGGATGATCAACTGATATTTTGCAGATTCTATGTAGATTCACCCTAAATAGACAGAAATTTCTAGGTACCGTATTATGAGCTATCCCCTGCACCATCAGTATTGGTTTCCTTCTCGATGTGTGTTCCACTATGCTACGACTACACAACAGCATGAATAATTTCATAGCATTCTGTTCCGAATAGACGAGAAATACACGAGTCGTTTTCTTTCAGTTGAGCACTCACAATTTTAATACAGCATCCATATAAGCACAACTTATCTGTTGCAGTATGAATGCAAACTAATCAAACTATACCACTTCCTATAACCAGTTCATAGCGACAAGTATATTAATACAGTAAGACGAATCATTACGGCATACTTAATCTATATAGCTAGGACGACTAGGCCTCACTTATTGTTGATCAGTCGATTCGCTACAGTGTTCAAACTGCTAGGTGCGTTTTCGACGGCCGTGAACACCTGAAAATTAGTGCAGTAACAGACAGCTTTGGAAACATCAATCAGAAGAGATGATGTGGTCACAACTGTCGTGGCTATGTTACATGGCTTTGTGGAACTGTAGCCGACACGAGCGGTCGCCACGCGTAGTGACGTAGTTTTACAAGCCGATGAAACATTCAACGTTTGAAATCGTTTCAGAAGAGTTTTCCACTGGTCTCGGCCATGCTCAATGTACAGTTCTCGATGATAGAGCGCATTGAGCCGCGCGTAAAAGATGTTTACCATATCTTCTACAAATCGCAAAACGAGGTGAGCTTCCATTCTCATCACAAAACTGTTTTCGACCCACGCCCAATGCACGAATTTACATGGGAAACTAGCGCCATAATGCTTAGAATCCCCTCACCACATCCAAACTTATGATAGTTCAGCACTGATTGTGAGCAGATGCTACTTGTGTAGCACAACCCTTTCTCCAGATTATCTAACGGGAGAATGATGGTAGGTCAAAGTGGCCGTTTGAAATGAGATACATACCGATTAACTGCGTCTTTAGATGGTGATTACGAATCTGTTGTGAACCTCTCTGAACAAATCGGAGGTCTTTAGATAGAGCATGAACACAACCCAAAACGAATTTCTAGCGCACGGTTGCTCACAGAGGTTATGAGGTTGGCCTCATGTTTGTGGTTCACCTGCAACTGGACGCGATTTATCTCGCATTTGAAGCAGCTTTAAGCTGTAGAAATTGATTATGAGTATGTGTTTGCACCCTCTGAGAAACCTCCGTAACCCCGCTGAGAACTGCCGCAGCAGATGTGGAGGACGAATTCGTAGCCACTATCCAAAAACACATCAGATTGTATACACCTTACTTCAAACAGTCACTTGGATCTACCATTCTTCTTTTGTGAGTTGTTTTAAAGAATAAGTAGGCGAGAAAAAAATGGACTGCGGAGCAATCATGCGGAACAATCACCTTATCAACACCATTGTTCCACCGCCGTTCAGCACCAATCCGGACCTCTTCAACTGTCGGTAACTGCAAGTGCTAGATTATAATGAGAAATCCTTTTACAGCTACGCACGGATAACTGCTATAGATAAGGAAAATCAAGTAGATCATCTCACTTTTTCTGGAAATACTACAGTTCCTGGAAGGATATATTGCTTCAGCTTGCTGTACAAATCAGCACCCTGGAAAAAGAAAACGCAAAGCTTCGAACTGCAGCTATGAGGCAGTTGATCCATTTGGTGGATTATTTTGAATTCAACTGCCTATTTCGAAAGCAATTCCTCATCGAGCAACTACTGAAATCGAAATACTCAAGCAAAAGTTAGTTATATTTTCGTTAACAACATGGAATCTGATATCTAGTGAAGCTAGTTGCGCAAAAGAAGAGCTGAAGACTAGCTCCATCAAAAGATAGCAATAAAAAAGCAAGAAAAACAAGCATTTTATACCCAGTCACGAGAGATGATCATCCTGATCAACTTGAACCTGTTGAATGCTTGAAGTGCTCAAGTCCACGGTGTACTAACAATGTCATGTCTATCTCGTGACGCAGACGGGGGTCATGACGTAAAAGTGTAGAGAACAAGGTCAAGCGTGCATGTCACAGAATCCACGATTTTGGGTCACCTTCAACTTGCTAAAAGGGAAATGTACGAGCACGTGTCATGGACGAGCAAAGCGGTAGTAAAGTCTGTAGGAAGTCAACGCCATCGCTTCTTGGCCCCGACGTTATGCCTTTATGTGAAATCGCCGCCCCGACGGTCACAACTGTAAAAGTCCAGGATATTTTCACAAGGAAGTTGTTTTACCTGAAAATAAACTCGCATCCGCAAAAAGTTTTCCGCCCTAATTTCGGACCTACGCCACTATGCAAGTTGCACGACTGCCTTAGCATTAAGTCTCCCAGAATGAGGAGTCGCAATCATTGATTTTCAAAGGACTGTTTGTTGGTTGGTGTTATACACTATTCCAAAAGAGTGGACGATTAGTGGGAGAGCAGCACTCCACTCTAATACAACCCGACGCCTCTGTAAAATTAGGACAAATATTTCGACAGCTGCACAAGAAGTGACAGTTATGATAGCTGAACGTATCTTACGTTCTCGGCCACCGTTCAATACGTGCAGAACAAATACGTAACACGCCGTACACATAATCTTAGCCACACTTGTCTGCACTCTCACACGTTTGACTGGTGTGTTACTGTTCTCTAAAACATCGGCCGTGTGCTAAGGCAGCGTTCAGACTTGTCGCGCTGTGCAGCGCTGCAATGTCGCGCTTCAATTGTACCAGACCCCAGCTTCCCTTTATGTTCTTTCTTCCGGTATTCAATCCCTTTTTCACTGTTTCTCATTTCTACCTGATTCTTAGCTCCTCTTTTTCACTTTAACATTGAATTTTAATGTAGTTTTTGATACAGGACACTGTGATAATGATTTTGTATACCGTTTTCGACTTTAATTATTCAGTCTCAGGGTTGCTATTGATGTTTGATGTCTTGCAGTGGTGCATCATGTTGATCCCGATTACGAAACTGTTTTCGTTCTGTTCTGTTTGTTCTGTTCTGTTTAAATTCAATGTTAAAGTGAAAAAGAGGAGCTAAGAATCAGGTAGAAATGAGAAACAGTGAAAAAGGATTGAATACCGGAAGAAAGAACATAAAGGGAAGCTGGGGTCTGGTACAATTGAAGCGCGACAATTGCAGCGCGACAAGTCTGAACGCTGCCCAATATGTCCGCTGTGAGACTTAGGGCCCCCAGATGCTGCAGCGAACGCATTGGCTTAGTGCCGCGGAAGAGTGCGACATGCACACTGCGTAGTTACAGCAACTCCGCTGCTCCATTTCACCACACTTTCACGTGACAAAGTGATACACTCCTACAGCTACAGATTCACTCACCTTGCACATGGACATGGTTCACCTTGCAGCAGGTAATTGTACAGTGTGTCACCGTGCTGAGTTAAGCATGAATCAAAAGTCCCAACAGCATTAAGTTAACGTAGCGTACATCATGCTAATGCCTGTCATTATCAAAATAAAGGAGCTCCAATCCTGTCTGTCTGAATTCGAGAAACGGGAAATCCCACGAATCGCGGAGCTGGTGATTTTGCGAGAAGGACTATGTAGGGATCGATCTCTTCACCGGGTAGAGAATAGGCAAAATCGACTGATATTCATTGTTTTATTTCGATCCCGCGAAAAGAATAAATTCGCAGTTCCTTGGTTCATCGCGTGTCCTGCACACGCACACCCGATAGACGAGTTGCAATGCCTGGTCTCTATCTGGGATCTGGTGTCAAATGAACGGAAAAATTCGATGCCACCCCTCATGGAGTCTTGCCTTCGTTTGGAGTCATACGAGTTTCGCATCTTCAATTGAGAGACTGATATTGAGGATTAGCTGCGCACCGCCACAAAAAAAAAACAAATAAAACGCCGCGCGCGACGATGCGACAGACTAATACTGTCTGTCCTCCCGTTCCTTGCTAACTAGGCACAAGCCGTACATTTGCGACTTTGGTAGAAGCGGCGAACATTCTCCTTTTAAGAGCGCGAGGAAGCGCGGTCGGCATTCAGACTTCGCGATCGCCGCGATACCAGTACGCGCGAGCTCGTGTTCGCGCGATTGGGATGGAGCCTGAAATTACAGAGGGCCTGCGTTCATGTTTATTCATGTTTAATGTTTCTGTTCTTTCTTTTCTTTTCCTTCTTCCTTTCCTTTCTGTGCATAACGCCTTGAGTTTTTAGGGGACTATTGAACTATTCATACCCCAAAAGAATTTTTTTGCGTTGGAACTGTTGTCTGCTTATTCTATGTCCTGATTACGAATATGACATTCCCTTTCTGGGCGGCTAGCGCATTTGGCGCCAACAGGCAGCCAACTTCTGCTCCACAATTTGATGCAAAGTTGATATACGGGGGTTAACTGAATCCTGCATCACGATATGCATGATTTTCGACGCTCGCGCACTCATTTGAGCGCACACAATTCTATTCTTCCCGAAATCGATAAAAACTTGCGTAATAGGGTTGTTTGATGTTCTGATCACGACTATGGCATTTATTTATCCATACCAGCGCCATTCAGCGTTCTGCTGAGGCTGAACCTGGGAAAAGAGTGATTTCCTTCAGGTCAGGCTCTGTCCCAGCGAAGCGCAGATGACCATAGTGTCCTACGTAGCGCTGGCGCTAAGAATAACTGTCTTATCGTAAACAGGGATGTCAAAGAACCACCCTACCAAAGGTTTCCAATAGATTTGTGACATAGAGGTGTTTTGGCGCTGGCGCCAGTTAGCGCGGCGCCTGGCATCTCTGGCCAAACGGCGTATCGATATTCATGTTCAGGGAGTTACACAATATTCCTCAGGAACAAATCTTCAGCGGATTTGGTGGCTTAGGGTATTTTGGCGTTGGCACCTGTGGTGCGGCAGTTTCAAGCGAAGCGGATGTGATTTCCGTGCTCAGGAGGTCCTAAAAGCAAACTTTCAGCCAAATATGCCCTTGTAGAAAAAAGTCGGTAAAAACCGGCTCATTTCGGCAGACTGGGACTAGTTCAATAATGTCCATGTTTCTCTTTAGACTGCACTTGTATAATCGGATTCCAATGGCACTCATCAGAAATAGCCTGCGCTTGAGTCAGTATTTCCCATGAGATTGCAGTGGAGCCTTTAGAAATTAATGAGGCATTTTGTTGAAGCATTTCGGAGATGAAAATGTTCCGAAAACTCCCCTGAGAACTGTGAGAGTGGTAGAACAAAATGGTTTCCTCCTTCACAGATGCACGCATTCGCTCCGTGATTATTATCTACTTCTTTCTATATGGTTCTGGTGACAGTATAGCCTCCTTGTCATGTGTTTATCATTGCCTGTTTGCTTCCTGTTGGTTTCGTGCGATACGAGGAATGATCACAAGCATAATTTTTTCTGAAATATAGTACGAGTACGAGATCCGTAGTCAGCCCTATCCACAGCTTCAAGAATAAAGTTGTAGGTGAAACCTGAACGACTTTAGGCATTCTGTTTCCCCATTCCGATGCTCGCCGTCTTTGAAACTACGACAGATCCTTACTTGGTTGAGAATTGTTTGTTCGTCTACTGAAGTTACCGTTCTGTTTGATTTCACCCATCCCAATCGCGCGAACCAGTTCGCGCTATCCAGTCCGCGGGATCTGGTTCACGCGATCACGAAGTCTGAACGCGCTCTAAGATGAATCATGTGCCGTTCTGAGAAGGAACTAACATTTGTAGTGCTTAGAGACCAAATGTCGTTGTCTATTGAAAGCTTCACTGCTCCTGCAACCAGCGCCACCTTGATGGAGAACCTGAAACAATACGTAACATGGATGCTTAGGAGACCTTCAACATTACCAATAAAGTGTAACTGAACAAACTTCGACAAACTCCAGAGGAAGCCCATAGCCAGCTGGATCCAAGAAGTTCTTCTCGGTGACAGTCACAAACAGCGGCACGTGAAAAATTATCAAAAAAAACTATTTATTTCCACGGTATCTTTGCGGCATCTCGGACTATGTACAGATACGAATGTGCTACCCTTAATTCAACAGCTTCGACAACGAACATGCGACCAAGAAATTAGGAAAAGCTTAGGGACTTGGATAAATCCCACGAACGGCAGCATCGTTCGTAAACTGCGGTGTGTTCTGTGTAATCAGAAATTGCATAAGATTTGACGTCTTCGCGTTGCCAGCTAGTTACAATTATAACTCACAAACACTCTTATATGCTGTTTTTGCTCACTTTCTGTTGTTTTACAGTAGCCTGGGAGCCGGTGTGCTTATTAGGTATTCCCGGCGGTGAGGGCTTCGCAGTTCTCGTCCACACACCAGTATTTTTTAAAACCCGAGTACATGCATGACTGCTGGAGCCGTTTTTACTCATGCGGAAGCTCCGGAGCTTAAAGGCAGTTGGCACGATGATTTGGTGCTTGGCCGAAAATGCTAGGGTGCTTCTATATAGTGGGGAAATGGCGAAAGAACGGAGTGAAACGGTCAAAATCCTGCGAAGAAAGAGCCTCCGTTCTCAATGTGTTAGAAATCAATTTTGGACGAGTTTCCTGTAGGCATCTTGCCAATAACCGCTACCGAAGGTACTACTGCATATGTGTACTCATATATCCATGCAGCACCACAGCGCTTCATCAACCAAAACCCCTTCGCTTACATAATTGCTTAGCAAATGAACTCTCGTTAGAGTCAGGAACGGTCGTCCATTTGTGGCGGCGGTCTTGGGCTGTGGGTCGGAATCTGTTGCGGCTTAGATAGGGCCCTGTATAAGGACACTCCTGAGGAAAGGCATTATTGCAGTGCCTGCCAGGGTCGCGGAATCCCGTCCTGCCAGGCGTATCAATCCTACTCTTCCTGGGGCATTTATCTTGCCAACTGCCTTTAACCACCAGGGTACAGCATCGTTGTGCGAAACCCATAGGGGGGGGTCGTACTTGGCCGCTGGGGAGGGGGGGGGGTCGAATCTCAAGGCGTCACTCACGAGCAATACTTCACGTTTCAGTGGATAGTGGGAGTGGCCATCGGAAAACTGAGATGTTAAAAAAAAAAATGGGAAAATTATTATGAAGTGATCCTTACAGATGCAACTGCTACGTTAAATAGCCCTCTTTTCACTCTTTCCATGCAAAATCCCCAAAACTACTTAACGGGTTCGTACTTGGCCGCGGGCGACATGGGGGGGAAAGCTTTTAATTCGCAAAGTAGGCTCGCTAGGCATCAAACAGTACAAAAGTGTCATTGCTAAGTTTGATGGAACGGACGGAAAGCTGCAGAAGACCCGGATGTAAATAGGACTACAAAATAATAAAAAATTTATTAGCAATATAGCAAGAATATCAAGAATAAATAAATAAAAAATATCAGTTAATAGCATGAACTCGTAAGTGGCCCGTCTAATGACTATAATACGTCTCAAACAGATTCGTGCGTATTGTCCTTTCCAAACCCTAAACAAACATCTGCTTGCATGGATAAAAGCACCTGAAATTAGAATTTACACCTTTCCATCACCTCTGCGTAGGAGCGTAATGCACGGCGCACACTCGGACCAAATCGATCAGTGATAGCCCTGCAAACGAAGTGCTCTTCTTCACTCTTTGAAGGGAAATATGTGTTTTGGAGTTTTCGAAGGTGTATCCTCACAATGGCACAGAAGGAGTCGATTTTTCGGGTGGGTCAGAGGGTAGCGCGTCTGTGACCCATCTAAAATATCTCCTGAACTAGTGGGTCTTCAGAAAAACTGTAAAGCTTATTGGGAAAGAGAAAAGATAGGGCGGTTTCAAGACTATTTCAATCCTGATGAAATTGCGTTCGAAATAAGTAGTCCTCGTGTGAAGCATAAAAACCCGCTTGCCATTTACCCCTAGCCTATCCAAAACCCATCCGGAATATTTCACCAACGGGGGATTGTTCAGTTTGCAACTAGGTAGAATACACAACAGTAGAAACTTTGCCGTTGCATGCTGCTCACCATTCCTCAAAAGCTCCGCACCTAAAGAGATATAAGCTCCTGAAAAGACCCCAGGACGCATTACTTTCGAGTTACCGCGCTCCAATGACGTTTTTGCAGCGAAAGCGGTTGCGACCTTGCGATCGATAATAGCCAAGTATAGAACGATTTACTGCCGCCTGGTTATCCTTTTTCTCATTTGGCTCCGCATTTTTTTTTTTCATGTTTCGCTTTGTTGTGTCGTTCATGTTGACTACGCACGAAAGCGATAATCTCGCCAAAATCGCTCTTATTGAAGTATCCTGATTTAAATGAAGTTGAAGGGCGCGCGTGCCTACAACGAAGTGGACGCTTGCGCCCGTAAAACTCGCCCGGCTTTTTTTCCGGATGTAGGTTTAGACGACAGTCAGATTCGTCGACATCGGGGATTAAAAAATGATCTGAATTGACTTGGAGAATATGGTCTCTCCTTCATGACTGCCCTACAATCTTTGCCGCTAACATGGCCAGCGGAGGGGATACCCTAATGTGTGTAGGACGGAATTCTTCAAAAAACTACAGTATGGCTTCGTTTGCAGGACCTACAAACGTACTTTTGGATTGTACGCGGTGCAATCGTGCACTGAAGTCAAGTAACTGCAATTTTTATTTTTCAAATTCCGTCCTACACACAGTGCTTATGGCTTTTGTTCTTGTCATTGTCTGCTGAGACCATTTTTGTTAATGCCGAAGGTTAGTAATTCTTAGTGTTTCTGCTGCCTTCATTATCGTGTCCTCACAACATTGAGCTGTCTGCCGACCCTAAGGTAAGCGCATGTGAGCAACTCACAGCCCGCACCCAGCCAACCCCGGTGCGCCACCGTCTCTGTCAACGAATGCGTTTTGAGAGAATCGGCGGCACCGTGGTCTTGGGAGAATGCGAGCTGGAGTAGGTGGATATCAATCTGCGCCGGTCGCTTGTGTTTTGAGAGAGAACAGGGTCCTGGACGATGTGATTAGGTGTCACAAAATCGAGACGTTGCCATTTTGCAAACCATGGTCGCACCATCTGGGCTTTCTATATCGTGTCCTCTCAAACTTAATAGCGTCTTATGGCGGCGACGGATCCTCTTTATCCTCTGGACCCGCATTCTCCCAAAACGCCAGATCGCCTTTTTTCGCCAAAAATTAAAAACGAGCTTGAGGCCGCTTTCAAGCTCCGCCTTCGCGAGGTAGGAGTATCCATGAGTCGACTTTTTATGGAAATGCGAGCTACAGAAGTAAATGGGAACCTGTCTCTCTGGCCGCAGTTGCACGTTTTCCCACAACGTTAGATCTTCGATTCTAATAAATTAGACTAGAGCGCGTCTACTCTTGCGATTATTCTGACGTAGTGGAAGTTTTCAGTTGTATAGTGAGAATAGAAACTTATTGATCCGAGTTGAAATCGATTACGTTGAAAGAATCGCAAGAGTATGCGTAGTCTTGATATTTAAAACCTCTTACTGGCGGTTTGTAATCGCAGGGCGTCTGCTCAGCTGTTCCAAAGAGAAATTGTTCACTATGCGACTGACATCCTCACGTGAATAATAATAACAGGATACATCCTTAACTCCACAAAAACCGTTCAATAATTGGCGAATATTTTGTTCTCAGGAAGTTTAGTTTTCAGCGTAAGTGCACAAACTGGCTTTTCAGTTAAGGCTAACTTAAGCTGTGAAGAATCTTTTTTGTCCTACTTCACACCCGGTGATACCACGGACTGTGAGGACCGAGCTGAAATTGCTTCACTCGCCAGCGGTCGAAATCATCGCGAGATCGCCGAAGAGTTCAACAGTCCAATCACTCGCAGTATGTGTCTTGGGGCTCATGGCCAAGTTGAAAGAGACAGGATCCATAGGTGTGACAAACCACGTCCAGGCGTCCGAGAAGGTAAACATCCGACGGCCTGTACTCTGGATCATTTTCGTAAGCTGAGATGTCCCTGCAGCAAATGGCATCTGAAACAATATTAATAAAAATATAATATTAATTTTAATATACGGGTATCGAGCTTTCTAAGATGTGCAAACTCTGTAGTATTGTCTTCTAACCATGGAATATTTTCGTGCGCAATTCCTAGGTTTTCTGGTTCGTTGTGTGCTTTCAGTCTTTTTCTACGTGTTGCTTGTAAAAATACAGAGGAATTATTTCGTAGTGTCATCAGCTATGACGTCTAATGTTGCAGTTTTTGATGTTGTGAATCGTTGCAAGGGTCGCAAGTCGTCGTCGCAGGTTACGCGATGCAGATCCCGCACTTTGACAATTACTCTTCTCTGTGAACGTCTTTCCCTCGCTGTTGCGTGGCAGCGTAGAGAATTTGGAAAAAAAGAGTAAAAGAATGAACTGAGAAAAAATCGACAGCAGTTCAGTTCAATCTAAATAGCTTCAGCTTTAGTTTAGCTCTGGACCTAATAGAAACCCACAAAAGTAACTAAATAGTGAAAGGAGTGCTGACGATTCAGCGCAGCATTCGACAAAAACCATTGCTAGTGGTAAGTAATAAATCGCCCGTTTCTTGAAATTACGCGAAAATTTGGCGGAGGGAGTGCTACACATGGGTGTCATGGCGCAATCGCACTTTGTGCATCTGTTGCAAAACGTTGCCCAAGACAGGAATCGAACCTGTGTCGCCACGGCCACAACGTGGAGTACTAACCACTATACTACTTGGGCCGACAGCAATGCCGCGGAGACCACTTTACGAAACGAAACTGGCGGCCTCTCGTAGGCATGATTCACAAAACAGTGAAAGTCGGAACTGAGGGCGTTCCAGCGAGGAGTTCGTTTTGGTCGCTGGAGTCAGGAGGGGGGGGTGCTCCTATTTGCTAGAGAAGGGTTTCTCTTGTTGTTTTCTGCTTCATTTTTTCAGCTGAGGTAAATAATTCTTCTACTGACAGCTGCTTTAAGGGAAAACTGGAGTTT